GAATGTATAAAAAAGATAAATATATAAATATAGGACAAAAGGAGTATATTTTATCGGTTATACTATATCACATTTAAACAAATGAATGTATAAAAAAAATTAAATATATAAATATAGGACAAAAGGAGTATATTTTATCGGTTATACTATATCACATTTTATTTTGTGATTAATAGTAACTAGCAAGGGGCATGCTAGTCAAATTCATTTATGATTTATCTTTTAAAAGTTTATAAATTCTTTTATATTCTCTACCTACTAAAATAATTGCCTTTTTTTTTTTTTTTTTTTTTTTTCATTTTATATGTTACTCTATATTTCACATATTTTTATATTTAGTAAAAAAATTTAGTTCAAAATATATTTAATAAATATAAATCAATTTAATTAACTCTATAATATATAAAATTAGATAGACTCATTCAAAATTTTTTTATTTATATATATCTCTAGTCAATAAATAAATATTTTTATTTATATTTAAAATTTTTTATTTTTACAAAAATTAATTTATATTAATTACAAAATAATATTTATATTACATATATTTTATTGAATTATGACAACTATTAAAATATATATTTTAAATTTCTTTTAATCATATATATTAATTCTTATTTTAAAATTACAAATAACATCACTTACATAAAATATAATAAAATAATATTATAATTCATTATTATTAACAAACTAAATTTCATTACTTTAAATACTATGACACAAATAAAATATGTCAATTGTTTCAAAAAAAAAAAAAAAGAAGTATATATATATTTAAATTTTTTGTTCTTATTCATAATTTGAGATATTTTAATTTTTTTTATTTACATGGTTTTTTTCTATAATTGATTTGAAAAAAAATTAGAAAATATACTAAATAAAAAATAGACACAAAAAAGAGCAAAATTATATTCCTTTGTCCCAACAAATAGACTATTTTTTTAGCACAAAATTTAAAGAAAGGTAAACTATTTTTTCAGTCCTGTAACTGGACCCTTTATCATTTTAGTTCCGTAAATGGAGCCTGTCGCAAACTAGTCCCATAAGTGAAAAAATTTCACTATTTTAGTCCTCCAGCGCAGCAGACGCCCGCGTGACTCGCCGGAGGCCACGTGTCCGCCAGGTCAGCGATACCTGGCGGATACGTGGATTTTATTTTTTATTTTTATTTTTATTTTTTCAATTTTTTTTTTAAAATATATTTTTTATTTATTTTTAATTTTATTTGTCTTATTTAATTTTTTTATTTGGTCTAATTAAAAAAATGAAAAAAATGAAAAAATAAAATAAAATCTACATGTCTATCAGGTGTCGCTGACCTGGCGGGACACTTGGTGGACACGTGGCTTTCGGCAAGCCACGCGGGCGTCTCCGGTGCCCGAGGACTAAAACAACGAAAATTTTCCGCTTATGAGACTAGTTTGCGACAGGCTCCACTTACGGGACTAAAATGATAAGGGAGTCTAGTTACATGATTAAAAAAATAGTTTATCCTTTAAAGAATCTTAATATTATATTTATAGTAAGAATAAAATGCCGATCAAAATATTTTTATGTCTTTATGAATATATTTTAATTTAAATGTAAAAATAATGATATTTATTTAATAATAATATATAAGAATAATTATGTTTGATATTTTATAAAAAAGATATATATTGATTTTGATATTAAAGATAAATTAAATAGTAATAATTAATTAATAAAAATAAAAACACAACTTTAATGATTATCAATAAATCTTAGGAAAAATTGCAAAAAATATCCTGTATGTAGGTTCAACTAACATTTTCGAACAATTTTTTTTTCAATTTTGCAATTTAGGACATTATGTGTACTTCGGGCATTATTTTTGCCCTCCGGCGCCAAAAAAACGCATGTGACCGTCATGTGCGCCTTCGTGGCATAGCCGGCGCATACGTAGACGCTGCCGTTGCTATGTTGTCATCCGCATGGTCGTCGGACAGGTGACGTGGACTTATTGTTCTTTCACTTTCACAATTTAGGACATTATGTGTACGTCGGATATTATTTTTGCCCTTCGGTGCCGAAAAAACAATTTATTCTAAGTTTTTAGTTCAATTTGGTCCAATTGGTTATTTGCAATTTGGTCCAATCGGGCCTGGTTATTTGCAATTTGGTCCAATCGGGCCAAATTAAAATTTTTAAAAGATATAATTTTTTTTTATAAAAAAAAATAATTCCACGTCATCGATCCAACGACCCTAGAACAAATTATTTTTTTGGAACAAGAGGGCAAAAATAATACTTAAGGTACACATAATGTCCTAATTTCCGAAAGTAAAAAGAAGATAATTCCATGCCACCTATCTGACGACCACACGGACGACAACACAGCAACGGCGGCGTCCACATATGCGCCGGCCATACCACGAAGGCGCACGTGACGGTCACGTGCGTTTTTCTGGCGCCGGAGGGCAAAAATAACGCATGGAGTATACATAATGTCCTAAATTGCGAAAATGGAAAAAAAGTGTTCGAAAATGATAATTGAACCTACATACAGGGCATTTTTTGCAATTTTCCCTAAATCTTATGCACTTAGATTCAACCAGAAGATTTATCCAAAGCACACTCGGCTAGCAACGACTGGATTCCCATGTTATATATATAAAAAAAATCTTATACAATTGTTTTGTTAAAGTACATATATAAAAAATAATACTTCCTTCGTCCTTTAACTATCTATCAATTGGTCCATTCCAAAATAAAGTATCCATTTATTTTTTAGTAATCATAATACCTACATACTATAATTAAAGTTACCCTTAAACTTACACTTTTTTACAAATATACCACTATAAAAACTTTTACCTTAAAGACATTTTAATCTTTTTACCTTTATTTCTACTACACACTAATATAATAACAATATTTCTAAAATTTCATGGAAAAATATATAGATAGATATGAAACGGAAGGAGCAGTACTATATACAAAGAAAATATATATATATTTGACGGGTTGAGGAATAATACTATATATGTGTCCATTAGTGTTTTTTTTTTTTAAAAATAAATAAATAAATGATAATGTGTTTAATCTTATAATGTGTTTGTTGTTATGTAATAATAATACAGTATAATATTGGTAAGTATATAAATATATGTATGCTTTCAGTGTATATTAATATATATATTTTTGTATGTATAAGACAATATGTATATATAATAATGCTTATGCACAATGTTCAAAGAGCATGCAGAAGGAAATTGAATACAGATAGTTGATTATTGATTAAACATTTAACAACTGTATTTATAGACAGGAAAACTTTAACATAAAGGAAAATAAAAAATAGACATAGCTGCTACGTAGTTGTTTCGTGTTACTACGTATATATCTCGTAATACTCCCCCTTGGATGTTTTTTATACAAAAAAATATGTTTTGTTAAAACCTTATATAGGAAAAACCTTGTGCGAAAAAACCCTAGTGAAGAAAAAAGAGTACAATATTCTTGTATTAATACGCTTCCCCTGTTTTGCACTTTATTTGATGTCTTTCAGTCGACGCATTCCAATTTCTTGTACCAATTTGTTGAATGTTGCAGTCGGTAGGGCTTTCGTAAATAAATCTGCAAAATTTTCAGAAAATCGAATTTTTTGAACATGAATTTCACCACTTTTTTTAAGATCGTGAGTGAAAAAGAACTTCAGAGATATGTGCTTTGCCCGATCGCCTTTAATATATCCTCCATTTAATTGAGTTATACAAACTACATTATCTTCGAATAATATTGTAGGAAGTAATACACCATCAGAAATCAAGCCACAATTTTTCTGAATATGGTGATTCATAAACCTTAACCAAACACATTCACGACTGGCTTTGTGAATTGCTAAAACCTCAGCATGGTTTGAAGAATTGGTTGTTATCATCTGTTTAACAGATCTCCAAGAGATTGTTGTTCCACCACAAGTAAATAAACAACCAGTTTGAGATTTTGTTTTATGGATCAGACAAATAACCAGCATCAGCATAACCAATTAATTCATTTCGAGATTCACTTGAATAAAATAGACCAAGGTCATGAGTCCCTTGAAGGTAACGAAAAATATGTTTGATACCATTCCAATGGCACTTTATGGGGGATACGCTAAACCTGGCCAGTAAATTTACTGAAAATGATATATTTGGTCTATGTACAATTTGCAATGTACATTAATGTGCCACTAGCGCTGATATATGGTACCTCGGGGCTAAGTATTTATTCATTTTCTTCTTTTGGCCTAAATTGATCTTTACTAGGATCAATGGATCTTACCACCATTGGTGTACTCAAAGAGTGTGATTCATCCATATAAAATTGCTTTAATACATTTTGGGTATATGTGGATTGATGAATAAATATCTCATTATTAATATGATCCACTTGTAATCTTAGACAATATTTTGTCTTTTCAAAATCTTTGATCTAAAATTCTTTCTTTTGTTACGAAATGTACACGTAGCAACTACGTGGTATTGTGGCTGCTTTTGGTTTCCTTCGTGTGGAGGTTTCGTGTAACTATAAATATATGTTGAATGAAACGAATGGAAAGACATTGCATTTCAATTTCATTCCTTCGCATTTAATTTCCTGCTGTCTGCTGCATTAAATTCTCTCGTGCTTGTTTCTTTCAGCGCAATTCATATATACATATATACTATCATTATATATATTATATTATATACATATATCATACATACATACACATACTACATATATATATACTTTATATTATATAATATATATTATATACAATATATAAAATAGTGGTTAGCGGTAGAAGTAATTAATATTTCTATTGGCTAATCCTATAATAATATCACAACACGTTATCAGCACGATTATATATTTTAATTTTCGCAAGGTAATATTTCATATTTTATCTGTTTATTATGACTAACCTTGACAAACAGGAATTTATCCCTCTCATCGTTTCTAGCCAAAATTATATGGCATGGGCTCGCGATGTTAAAATGCATCTGGCATCAATGGGCTTGGAAAATACCATTGCCTGGGATAAAAACTCCCCAAGCCAAGATCGTGCAAAGGCCATGATCTTTTTGTGCCATCACATCGATGAGGCACTGAAAATGCAGTATGTCACGCTGGAATCCCCACTCAAATTGTGGGAGAGATTAAAAGAAAGATATGATCATTTGAAGCTGACATTGTTGCCGAGGGCACGGAGCGAATGGCAAAGCCTACGGCTTTAGGACTTTAAAACAGTCCAAGAATATAATTCTGCAATGTTTAAAATAACATCACAGCTGCGCCACTGTGGCGAAAATATATCTGAATCTTATATGATGGAGAAAACTTTCTCCACTTTTCATGCCTCTAACATGGTTTTGCAGCAGCAGTATCGCGAATAGAGGCTTCCAGAAATATTCTGAGCTGATCACCTGTCTTTTGCTGGCCGAACAAAATAATGAATTGCTATTGAAAAATCATGAATCTCGGGCGACAGGTGCAAATCCATTTCCAGAGGCAAATGCGATACAGCCGGAAAATCCGGTGCGTGGTCGTGGGCAAGACAGAAATCAATGAATTGATCGCGATCGAAATCAGAATCGCGGACGGGGCCGGGCAAACGCATACAGTCATAATAATTATCAAAACAGGTCCCGATATGTGCCAAATCGGCGATATAATGACAGAAGGCCGTACAGACCTCAACAGAGGATTAACACCGGGAGAAACAGAAATAATGACGATGAATGCACCTGGTGTGGAATCAAAGGCCATTGGGCCCATGTTTGTCACACAGCTAGTCACTTGGCTGAACTGTATCGGGCCTCAAAAGAAAGGCAGGGAAGAGTTGCTGCCGAAACAAACTATGCTGCCCACAATGACACATTTGACGATGTGATGAATGAAAATATCACGCACCTAGATGCCGATGATCTGCTTGATATAGCTGATGATGTTAAATGACAAAATTTTGTTGTATCTCTTTTGTTATTTTGATGCTTTTTGCCCCCCTTTTTGTATTACCCCCTATAATATAAGTCTATTTTGATTATGTTACTAATACATGTCATTTATTATTTTTACCTTCTTGCAAAGATATGGATGCCAAATATTTTGGAGCCGATGACAACATCTGCCTTATCGACAGTGCTACGACTCACAGCATTCTGAAAAACAAAAGTTATTTCTCCCATCTTAATATGGGAAAGACCACAATTGTTACTATCAGTGGTGCATCGAAAATGATTGAAGGCTCAGGAAAAGCTATTGTATATCTCCCAAAAGGGACAAAAATGGCAATTGAAAATGCCTTGTTCTCGAGCAAAGCTCGAAGGAATTTACTGAGCTTCAGTGATATTCGGAAAAATGGGTATCACATTGAAATATTGAATGAGGCAGAAAATGAATATCTTCTAATAACTCAGGTTGTGAATGGCAAAAGAATTGTGAAAGAAAAATTGTCATCATTTTCTTCCGGCTTATATTACTCAAAAATCAGTGCCATTGAAACATATCACCTAGTAGACCAAATGGCTACTAGCGAATTTAAAACTTGGCACGATCGACTTGGGCATCCTGGCAATGTAATGCTGAGGCGAATTGTTGAAAATTCAAATGGTCACTCATTGAAAAAGAAAATATTTTGAGTCCGAATGAATTTGCTTGTGCTGTCTATTCCCAAGGGAAGTTAATAATCAGGCCATCTCCAACAAAGGTTGGATTTGAATCCCCAGCTTTTCTGGAAAGAATTCAGGGTGATATTTGTGGACCAATAGATCCACCATGTGGACCCTTCAAGTATTTTATGGTACTAATTGACGCGTCAACGCGATGGTCACACGTATGTATGTTATCTACTCGCAATCTAGCTTTTGCTAGATTACTTGCACGAATAATTAAATTGCGAGCACAATTTCCAGATCACCCGATAAAGAAAATACGTCTAGATAATGCTGGAGAGTATTCATCACATACATTTGATGATTATTGCATGTCAATTGGGATTACTGTGGAACATCCTGTTCCCCATGTACATACGCAAAATGGCTTGGCTGAATCTATTATCAAAAGATTGCAATTAATTGCTAGACCATTATTGATGAGGTCTAAACTTCCTGTATCATGTTGGGGACATGCTATATTGCATGCAGCAGCCCTCGTGAAAATAAGGCCGACCAGTTATCACTGTTATTCCCCCACTCAATTTGTTTCTGGAAAAATACCAAATATATCTCACCTGCGAATATTTGGGTGTGCTGTTTATGTGCCAATTGCACCACCTCAACGCACGAAAATGGGACCTCAAAGAAGGTTGGGTATATATGTTGGGTATGAATCACCCTCGGTTGCGAAATATCTTGAACCAACAACGGGTGATTTATTTACTGCGAGGTTTGCAGACTGTCATTTTGACGAATCACATTTTCCGAAATTAGGGGAGATAATAATCAAGTGAAAAAGAAATTTCGTGGAAAACACCACTTGAATTTGATCCTTGTACGAAATATAGTGAACTTGAAGTTCAAAGAATTGTGCATTTGCACAAAATTGCAAATCAATTGCTTGATGCTTTTAATGATGCTGCCAGGGTTACAAAATCATATATTGCAGCAGCAAATGCACCAGCTAAAATAAATATCCCATAAGGGAAAGTGCCAAGTGCTAATGAGCATACTGCCCGCGTAAAACGTGGTAGACCGTTGGGTTCTAAGGATAAGAATCCACGAAAGAAGAAAATTGTAAATACTGGTGAAGAGATCAACAATGATCAGATACCTGAAAAGGTCAGTACAACCCCTGAAGAGGTTGATACTAAAAATTCTGATGAAAGTGATGATGAAGTCATTGAAACTTCTGTTAACTATACCACCAGTGAAAAATATTGGAACAGAAAGAAAACAAATGTTGATAATGCATTTGCATATTCTGTAGCACTCGATATAATGAAAGATAACGAGGATCATGAACCAAAATCAGTTGATGAATGTCGGCAAAGAGATGATTGGGCAAAATGGAAAGACGCAATTAAATCTGAATTGGACTCATTGAAAAAACGGCAAGTATTCGGCTCTATAGTCCAAACACCAGAAAATGTGAAACCTGTTGGTTACAGATGGGTGTTTGTGAGAAAAAGAAACGAAAATAATGATATCACAAGATATAAAGCAAGGCTTGTAGCCCAGGGTTTTTCCTAGAGACCGGGTATTGATTTTGAAGAAACATATTCTCCGGTCATGGATGGAATAACATTCAGGTATCTTGTGAGCCTGGCAGTACACGATAATCTTGATATGCGATTAATGGATGTAGTTACTGCCTATCTTTACGGCTCTTTAGACAATGACGTCTATATGAAAATCCTAGAAGGGATCAACATACCTGAATCATTTAAATCAAAGCCAAAAGAATCATATTCCATCAAATTGCAAAAATCTTTGTATGGACTTAAGCAATCAGGCCGAATGTGGTACAATCGTCTCAGCGAAAGCTTAACAAAAGAAGGTTACATAAATGACCCTATTTGTCCATGTGTTTTCATAAAGAAAAATGGGTCATGATTCGTAATCATCGCTGTATATGTCGATGATCTCAATTTAATTGGAACTCCTGATGAAATCCAGAAAGCTGTTGAATATCTGAAAAAGGAGTTTGAGATCAAAGATTTTGGAAAAACTAAGTTTTTCCTTGGTCTACAAATTGAGCATAAACAGTTTCTGATGGACAAATCACATCCGCTAAGTACCCCAATGATCGTCAGAGAACTCGATCCAGCAAAGGATCCATTTAGACCAAAAGAGGAAAATGAAGAAACACTTGGCCCAGAAATGCCATATATGAGTGCTATAGGCGCATTGATGTATCTTGCTAACAGCACCCGACCTGATATATCATTTGCTGTAAATTTATTGGCAAGATTCAGCTCATCGCCTACTCGACGACATTGGAACGGGATTAAGCACATTTTTCGCTATCTCCAAAGAACAATTGATCTCGGGTTATTTTACTCGAAAGATTCTCGACATGAATTGATTGGATTTGCCGATGCAGGATATTTATCGGATCCTCATAAAGCCAAGTCGCAAACTGGCTATATATTTACTTGTGGCGAAACAGTGATATCTTGGAGATCAATGAAACAAACTTTAACTGCCACTTCTTCAAATCATGCTGAAATATTGGCAATACATGAAGCTAGTCGAGAATGTGTTTGGTTGAGGTCAATGACTCAACATATTCTGAAAAATTACGGGTTAATACCTGACGATAAAATTCCCCCAACTACATTGTATGAAGATAATACAGCTTGTATAGCGCAATTAAAAGGAGGTTACATTAAAGGAGATAGAACGAAACATATTTCACCAAAATTCTTTTTTACTCATGATCTGCAACAAAATGGTGAAATTAATGTGCAAAAAATTCGATCTGATAATAATTTGGCGGATATATTAACCAAGGCATTGCCGACGGCAACATTTGAAAAACTGATGAAGAAAATTGGGATGCGTCGGTTAAGGGATCTCAAATAATGCTCAGATAAGGGGGAGCGAATCGATACAAGAATGTTGTGCTCTTTTTCCTTCACTAGGATTTTTTTGTCCCAAAGGGTTTTTTCCTAGTAAGGTTTTAACGAGGCACATTCTCTGTACAAAAACATCCAAGGGGAAGTGTTACGAAATGTACACGTAGCAACTACGTGGTACTGTGGCTGCTTTTGGTTTCCTTCGTGTGGAGGTTTCGTGTAACTATAAATATATGTTGAATGAAACGAATGGAAAGACATTACATTTCAATTTCATTCCTTCATATTTAATTTCCTCTTGTCTGCTGCATTAAATTCTCTCGTGCTTGCTTTTTTCATTCTGCTCAATTCATATATACATATATACTATCATTATATATATTATATACATATATCATACATACATACACATACTACATATATATATACTTTATATTATATAATATATATTATATACAATATATAAAATAGTGGTTAGCGGTAGAAGTAATTAATATTTCTATTGGCTAATCCTATAATAATATCACAACATCTTTAGATATTCAATTTTAATTTAGATCTTTTCAGGAGTTCCAATTAAATTGAGATCGTCAACATATATTGCAATAATGACAAATATTTGATCCAATTTTCTTGATAAAAACGCATTGGCATATTAGATCATTAGTATAACTTTTTTTTATTAAACATTTACTAAGACGGTTATATCACATTCGCCCTGATTGTTTAAGTCCATACAATGATTTTTTCAGTTTGATGGAATATGATTCCTTTGGGTTTAATTTAAATGCTTCAGGCATATTGAATCCATCAAGAACTTTTATATAAATATAAGTATCCAAGGAGCCATAAAGATATGCAGTTACTACGTCTAAGAGATGCATGTCGAGCTTTTCTCGCACTGCTAGGCTCACAAGGTATCTAAATATTATTCTATCAACAACCGGAGAATATGTTTCATCAAAATCTACTCTATGTCTTTGTGAGAATCTCCGAGCTACAAGACAGGCTTTATATCTTACAATTTGATTAAGCTCATTTCTTTTTTTGTACAAATACTCATTTGTATCCAACTAATTTTATATCACCTGGTGTTTGAACAATTGGTCCGAAGACCTCAATTTTGTTTAATGAGTCAAACTCTGATTGAATCGCAATTTTCCATTTTGGCCAGTCATTTCTTTGCCGACATTCATGAACCTATTTTGGCTCTGGATTCTCGTTTTCTTCCATTATATCAAGTTCAAAATTATAGGCAAAGACATTATCAAGTATTGCCTCTTTACGATTCCAACATTTTTTTGAAGTAAAATAGTTAATTGAGTTTTCAATAATCTAATTATATTTTTCAAGATCGTGTTTTTATGGAGCAAGTATTTCATTGTTGACTTCCTTATTAGATTGAGGTTTATCAATGTCAATCTTGATATTTTTATGATTA